TGTTATCACTAGCCCCAGCCTGCTACATATTTTATAGTAAGCAATTTTAGTATTTCAGATTAGCAAGCTATATATATATTTAGTGCTTTATTCTCAAACTGTTTCACCACAAATGACAGCTCATTTCACAAACAGCTTATCTTATGGCTAAAGATATATAAATACATACTAAAAATGCTGCTGAAAGTCTCAGAATGTATAATGCAGCCTGGTAGACATGGTAGTGATTGTAACACTGCATTGTAGACACAAATGTTAAAGAAACTTGGCAAGAAGCAACACATTTTAGCTACTCAAAATTCAGATTTTCTCAGACTTGTCCCCTTCTGATGAATGGAACATATGGGAGTATTGTTCATAAAACTTACATTGCTTTTCTTGATGTCTACCAAAATTCCTCATCATGACAATATTTACCAAGATACATAAAGATTCAAATTTGAATTAATTACCCAGAAGTTTTTCTGTGCTTCCAGGTTTGCTGGAAAAGAAAAACACTTCAGAAGCAATGTGTTGTGAGCATTTAGCAGTAGATGTTTTAGCAGCAGAGGTAGCAGAGTGCTTGCTGGGGAAGGGGCCTACCCAGTTAAAAGCCATCACTGCTGAGTGAGATAAAAGACAGGGAAGAAAGCAACTGCTTTGCCAGGAAGCAGTTTGAAATCTGACATTATAAACAAAACACATTTAGATCTAGACATAAATCCTCCATATGTTGAAAGCTCAATAATATTTTAGCTAGAATTATTACTTACAAACAAACAGTTCCTGAAATACAGCATCAAAACTGCAGAACAGCCTTTAACCTTGTGTTCATCCACTCAAGAGCCATGTTATTTATTATCCTTTATCCCTTAATTATGGGGACTTCACCTACTGCTCTCTGCTCATTTGAAATGCAGAATAAAATACAATGGATGTCTAAAGACTTAACAGGTGTCAACCAGATATTTGCCAGCTACTGCTACTATTCTACTGGGAGGAGTTGCTGTTCTATAAATACTAATTAGAGTTTTGCACATGATCTTGCTGAAATACCTAAGGTGATGAGTGGCCAGTTGTTACTTTTAAAAGATTAGCACAATTTGAAAAACTAATGTCCCCAATGAGGCAATGCTCACACTGAATAATCAAGAGTTATAGCTGTTCTCTGCCCAAAGGGAATATTTGCTCACTTCATCATTTGGAAAATCTGCTGCCTCTCCAACAATTCACTCTTCTATTTAACTTTGAGAAACTTGTAAAACTTTGTGCAATCAATAAATTAGTGCAGTATATGTACTTAGATGGTCTTCCATTGCTATGCCCACATGGCAGGCTTTTTTACTACCTTTACTTCCAAAGACAGAGCTCTTAGTGTGAAATCATGATTAAGAAACTGCAACAAAATAATGTTGTACTTAAATCAAGCAGCAAAGAAAAATAGGATTACAGCACAAAGTCCATAAACACAGCAAAAATTCAATTTCCTCAAATCCATCTCCCTTGAAATTCTTCACATCCACTAAAGAGGAAAAACAGACACAGGCAAATCAGAACAGGTCTCTATGAGACTGAGGTTTTATATTAAAAATTTATATGTAGTAATTTTTTATTTTAAAATTCCTTCCAATTCTCTAAAATCTTGATGCAGTATAGCTGAAAAAACAGCTACTTTTAAGCAAAATGTTAAAGTGACATGGCCCATTTCCTTGATTTTTAAAAAAATCTTGAGTTTTATCTTCTCCATTCTGCTATGGAGAACAACTGATGTCACAAGGTGTGACACACTGCTGTATTTCCATATGGGAGCTGTGCTTCAATGCAGTGAAATCTGATACAATCCCTTACTATTTAGTGTCCATGACCACGTGTGGGGAAAACATAGATATCATTTTAATCAGAATTTTTTTCCAGGCTTTATTTTTTTTTTTTTTAATAAATATTTTTCTTTACACTGAAACCTATATTTTTTCTTATCCCTTAAGGATATCCCTACTGCTTCCTCTATTCCAGTAGCTCATTACTGGAAATGTTTGGCCTTGCTTCAAAAGAGAAGAATATGTCAACACCAGAACATCTGTGTCCACACAGAGTGCTTTGATGACAGTGATATACTCCATTTACATCAGTAACACTGAGCTGAACCTTGATGCTGTCTGCATTTAAAGATCTTACCCCACAGGGCAAGAGAATACAGGTCAAAAACGTTGATCTCTGTTTGACACACTCTCTACTTCAAGAGCACTTGGCAGCAATTTGTTCCAGAGTCAAGAATCAAACTCACAAAGTGTTGCAAAGCTCGGAGCCATGTTTGCATAACCACATTCAAAACAAATATTAAAATTCACAGTCTCTGGAGGCCAATCTACTTTTGATATGCAGGGTTTTGTGAGCAATACAGTCAAATTCTAGCCTGAGTACAGGAGGAGTTTTCATTTAAATCAAAAAGCCATAACTCAGGCTTGAACATCTGTTATTAAGAGGGATGATGTACCTATATCTCTCAAATGTAAAAAGGAAAACAGGCACTTTATCATCTAAAAGTCAAAACTGATCATCTGAAAAAAGGAGTGGAATAGTTATGTGTGACACAGGGTTGTGCCTATCAGTGTGGTCAGAAGAAGTTGGGTGAATTTTGGTACAGAACAAATGCAGGCACAATAATGATTAATTCCTCAAATATTTCATAAAGAGGAGTTCAGAAATGAATCCTGAGTTACAGCATATTTTTAGCCCATGGCTACTGATAATCTTCCTTTTAACTGGATTTTAAAACCTTTAGTGTTTCTTCAGCTTTTTGTAATTAATATATCATTTTCTAATTTAATTGCATTGTGTCCACTAAACTGCTATGCTGACACAAACCCTAATATGAGGTGGAGAGCTCCAATAGTTTCCTTCCACCCCTTCCTCCCCTCATGTGGAGCTCAGCACTTTTGCAGCATTGAATGATCCAGTACAAGACTAATACATACAAAACATCAAACAGGATCCAATCAATGCAGCTGGATATTGCCCTGCTCGTGTTCAAGGACCACAGCCACCTGTGTGCTGCAACAGCAGCTGCAAGTGCTGGTAAATCCTATTTCAGCAAACAGAGAAAGAGAAGATTTTGTTTACAGGTTGCACTAGAATGCCATGGAAACAGATACAGAGGTAACTGTGAAAGGCATAATCCAAATGGAAGACAGCCCTGATAGAGCTCATATATCCAAAAATAATATATATGTTTTCCCACTTGGAAAACACATGCATAAATCCTATTAACATCAAGACAGAAAATTATACTGAGTAGACCCCAATATCACTAAGGTCCCTGATAACAGTATGAATTAATGTGCACCTTCAAAGCAGAGCAAGATGTTTTCATATGCAGACTATTAGAAAAAATAAAAATATCTTAATAGAATAATCATCTTTTTAAAGAAAAAAAATTACATCTTGAATTTTTGAAACAGGATTAAAGTGTGGTAGTAGCCCTGTAAAAGGAAGCTGCTCAGCACCTGCTGCCTACACTGTGCCTGGCTTCAGGCAATGTTATTCATTCCTCACTTTCATGGGAGCAAAATACATCCTCTAAAAATATAAAACACAAAAATAAATAGATCTCCGGGGAAATTGAAGAGAAATCTGTTTTAAAAATAGTGAAGGAGCCTCTATGTTCTAAAAAAATAAGTCCATTTTGCATTGTTTTGTAAGATTTACACTTTAATTTGAAACCAACGTAAGGCATAAAATTTGTATGAAAGCAATATCTGATTTATAGATAAACTTAAAACACAATACACTTAGCTGCAAATACCAGACCCCAGTGAGAAAAACAAAAGGTTTTGAAAGATGATTAAAATATGTTTGATAAATGTGGCCCTGAAATGCCCCAAAAGATTTTTCTGAAGTTAAATAGTAAACACAATTAACATGGCTTTTGCTACAAAAACACTAAATGCAATGGATTTTTTAAATTAATTTTCAATGATATTACATGTTCCTATTGAGCTGGAATTGACTCAATCCACTAACTGTACTGTGAGTCAGTTCTTTTGTCCATCTGACCTTACCATGCAGACAAAAAGCCAAATATCCATTCCGTTGGTCATATGAAGAGGAAGCCACACAATGAGAACAATCTTATGACCACCATTTCCATCTTGTGAGTAGAAAATTTGTGACAGTTGAAGCATTTAAGAAAGATATATTCATAAAACCCAGATAATGTCCAGCTTGATCAAATGTATTACTAATTAACCAATAAAAAGTAGCAGCTGTGAAGGCTGACAAGAATAACTTACTGTACACCTCTGGCCTAACCTCACTATCCATATTCAAACAAGTCTCCTGGCAAAGGCAAATCAAATAATTCTTGGGAGTCTTGCATGCATTCAGACTCACTAGATTTACATATTATTATTCACTGTAGATGTTTCATTACATTTGCTTTGAGAAAATGTACAATCTATATGGGTATTCACATGTTTAATATGCACACGAGTTCCCATTTTGTACATTTTATGTGGCTGATGATGAGGTTGTTTGGCCTCCCTCTGCCTTAGACTGGGCACTGCTCATTCATGTGAGGTCAACTCACGTGGCAGAGCTCACCTTCCTCCACCAAACTCCAGCCACCCCAAAACAGGCAGAACAATTCCAAGCAGCTTTTCAAAACCAGACCAATCTCCCATAATATTTGCAGGGGTTTTTTTTTGGAGGCTAATGCAGGCAAAAAAAGTGGTACAATTACTGTTCTAAGAGCTGGACAGTTGCTGGAAAACAATTTGCCCCAAGCCCTGACTGCTCAGTTTCCTCAAATGGACATTTCTTCAATCATGGTATTTGAAACAAGGCACTACAGAGCCCTCTAGAATTCACATTGGCATCTGCTCCAAAGAGAGCCTGTCCTCACAACACTGCTGCACCAAGGTTCTCATACTCACAGGTAAAAGAACTCCTCAACCATCAGGTCTTTGGTACAAGTGCCAAGTAAAACCGATTTATTTCATTAATTCTTTGAAAGAGTAACTCACCATTTTGGCCGGCTTGTGGATTTCACCATTGGAGCCATCCCATCTCTGTAGAGGCTTTTGGTTTTACTGAAGTTGACAACATTGAAAATTACTCTCTGGAGAAGAAAAAAAAGGAAAAGAAAAAAAGACCAGGTATAAATTCTGAAAGACTTTCTACATGTGTTGTCTATACCAGATGCATAAAAACATACATGGATAACATTTGCAATAGATGTGTACCTTATGAATTATTGTTATTCTCCATGGACTCAGATAATGGATATCCTGTCTGTTCCAAGTATTTAAAATGTCCATGTTGTTTCACACTGCATTGATGCACGTGAAATATATGTTTCTAATTTAGCACGCTGATTTTTCAATAGGAATCCTAGCCAGATGAAAAAAATAAGCAGAGCTAGTCCAGTGTGCTGCAGTTAACATTACAGAGGTGGATGGAAAGCTGGGAGATGGGGTAGAATTCCTTGTGAAAACCTTCTAACTGCTTCACAGAACCATAGGCTAGAAACACAGAATTGCTGAAGCTGGAAAAGACTTCCAAGATCCAACCATTAATCCAGCACTGCCAAGTCCATGGCTGAGCCATGTCCCTGAGCACCACATCTACATCCCTCTGGAGAAGATGACTACTTACTTCCTTTAGTAGACAGTTCCAAACCTTAACAACCCTTTCAGTTAAGATTTTTTTCCTAATATACAATCTAAAACCACTAGTAAAACCTCTTGTCCTATTGCTTGTTATCTGGGAGGAGAGAATGACCCCTACCCTGCTACAACCTCCTTCCAGGTAGTTGTAAGGTCACCTCTGATCCCCCTGTTCTCCAGGCTGAGCCCCCCAGCTCCCTCAGCTGCTCCTCACCAGACTTGTGCTCCAGACCCTGCCTCAGCTCCGCTTCCCCTCCCTGGACTCGCTCCAGCCTCTCAAAGTCACTCTGGTCATGAGGGGCCCAGAACTGGGCACAGCACTCGAGGTGTGGCCCCACAGTGCCCAGGACAGGGGGACAGTCACTGCCCTGCTCCTGCTGCCACACCACTGCTGGCACAAGCCAGGTGCCACTGGCCTCCCTGCCCACCTGGCTCGTGTTCAGCCCCTGGTGACCAGCACTCCCAGGGCATTTTTCCCCAGGCTGTTTTCCAGCCACTCTGCCCCAGCCCGGAGCACTGCAGGGGTTGTTGTGGCCCGAAGGCTGGACCTGGCACTTGGCCTTGTTGAACTTCATACAATTTTCCTTGGCTGATCAACCCATCCTGTCCAGATCCCTCTGCAGAGCCTTCCTGCCTTCCAGCAGATCAACCCTCCCATCCAAGCTGGCATCATCTGCAAACTGACCAAGGGTGCTCTTGATCCCCCACCCTTCTTAGCCTTCACACAGCAGCAGCAACAACAACAACAAAAAAATCTGATTTTTTCCCCCCCAAAGATAGGAATATTTCTGTACCTATCCCCTGGCAAAAGGAAGAATTATCTTTGAAAAAAGTGTTCAGGATACCTACACAGAAATTGCATATAGCCATCAGTTGCATGAATACTATAGATAAGAAGAAAATATTTTAAATCTGATCTTAATTTAAACTGAAACTTTGGGAAAACTGAAGATGATATTTAATAGGTCAAGGGAAGAGTAGAATTTAGATCTTTAAAGGTAATGGACTGATACTAAAAGCAAATTAATGCAGGGGGAAGACAAGAGAAAACAGAGACAAAACCTTTTTCTTTACCATCTGTCTGCTTCAAGTCATTTCATGCAAAATTACTTATTCTGTCTCTGTTAAGAAAGTCTAAATTGGATCTAGCTCATCTCTTGGAGTACACTGACTTTTCAGATGGCAAATGCAGTATTCCTCATTTGTTGTACTCTTTTGATACTCAGTGTTGATGTACTCCAAGAAAACAAAATATGAAGTCTAAATTAGTTTTTATGAAACAGTCCACAATATATTGATAAATTCAATTTCTATGAATCTCTTTACATTTGTTTTTTAAAGGTAGAGGTGAAGACAAGCCACTAAAAATTATATTCACACTTTTCTTAGAACAAACTATTGTAATGTTGGCACCCTTCATATGGTCCACGAGAAGCCTAAGAACTAATTGATCACTGTTTAAAAATCAAACATTTTTTGACTAAAACAATAATCTTTCATATGTAAAACTGTGTAAAAACAAATCTGGACCTTCCAGGCAGTCTGCTCGGGTAACAGGGAGTGAGAAGATTAAAATGAAAGGAATCAGCAGTGGGACACAAACAGGAACCAGGTACATTTGTCCTTTAATATGGGGCAGATAGGAAGCCAGGTAAACTGCATAGCCCTAAGTGTCTCTGTACTCAAGAAAAATTAAGTTTTTTTGGGTTAAGGTAGTGCTGAAGATTTTGTGAATGGGAGCACATACTTCTAGGCTGCAAATTCTGCCAATCAGTAAAAGCAAAATCTAAAAATAACCTGTAGGTTTGACTAGAACTGACATGAAAAACTAGCAAGTCGAGAAAATCACTTTTTTGAAGGTGGTAATTCAATTTTGCACCAAAGGCAGTAGGGAAACTATATATCCCTGCACAAGGGTTTTCATGTATTTTGAGATTTCTAGTGGTCATGAGATGAACTTGTTTTTATAACTCTGGATAAAAGAATGCACTTAAATTTACAGAATGTTATGTTTGTAATTTTAGGTATTTAGGATATAGCTTATCTGATGAAATATCCACTTTGGGAGGTCTCTAGTTATTTTCCATCTTACATTTCTAATGGATGGCTTTAAGTTAGAGAATGGTATTCAGGTCTCTGCATGCTTTATGCTCTACATGGAAACATTTCCCTCTATTAGAATGCTCAGTTTTTCCTCTGTTACTTAACTCTGTTCATATTTTTGAAAACAAATTAAGTTGCAACAAATTGGTTTGTTAATCTTGATGTTTGCGTGGAGTGAATGAAACAAACAAGATCTCCAAACCAATTGCCTTAAACTTTGGATGCAATCATGTCACTGTTGGAAAGGGAAAGTTGCTAATTTTGTTACATACTGACTCAGAGCAGACAGCTGGTAGAGAATGTTCTTATTCCAATCAAGCTTATTTTGTATAATGAGTTGGGCAAATGTACACAACTGGGTAAGCAATGTATATAAAAACAAAAATATGCAGCTCATTTAACAAAACACTGCCGATTATAGCGTTCCGAGCGCTGCCGCTCGCCGCGGAGCGAGCACTCAGCAACGCGTGCAATTCCCCCAGCATGGCACCCAGCTAGATTGGCAGAACCCAAAATTTAACAGCACACAGCAGAACTTTATCAACACACACCACTGAAGTAATAAAGCACACAAACCGAAGCACTCAAATGAGCAGCTGAACTCCGTCAAGTGTTCCTGGTGGTGGTTAAAATAGTCCATGCAGCTCAGCCAGTGGAGTGTGCAAAAATGTAATGACTGCAGGATACACACTGGGTACACACGCTGGAAAAATATGCAGCTTGCTCAATAAGGTATGCAAACAGCTTTGAACTGAATGCTGTCATAAAAGGCTGTGATACAGCAATCAAAGTTTTGCTGAACAAATCTAATTTTTAGTCTAATTTCTGTCTGTACTTATATCCTTTAGCACGCCAGCGTAAAGAGCAAAAGGACTAGAAATAAACTGAGCAGGTTAAAACACTTTTTTGAAAGAAAATTATCACTATTCTGAATTATTACATCAGTTATAGAGATGTACAAGATTGTCATCTTATAAGCAATATAATTGAGATACTCCAAAATGAGTATTCAAGAACTTAAGAAATGTCAAGTCAAGAAAATAAAACTAGATTAAATGTACTTAAAATTCCCTAGAAATTGTTCTGTTCTCCAGAGCATCAATACAGAGAAAAATGGTGGAAATTTTTACAATAAAAATACTTGTTGGGTATTTGGGAGTGTATGAATACCACTAAAAGAAGCAATATTCAAACAGATGCTGTACCAGAAATTATAACTCTGTGCTTCCACTTCAGATTCAGGATAAAATCTTAAATATATTGCATTATTTTGACAAACTGATCTGCAGTTTCTGGGTAGGTGGAAGAGGCATGGTGCAGAAAAGCCTCTCAGGACAGCACCAAGTCAAACCATGCTCTTGGGTATGCACCAGGATGAGTTGTGGCTTCACAGCATGAGAGAAGAAAATTGCTGCAGTCTCAGGCTCTGTGTTTGTCCTGCCTAATCTGAGACAGATGTTGGAGAACATGAGGCAAGGCAGGCAAGTTCTGCCCACAGAGAGAAGAAGGAGGAGGCCCTCTTTCCATAACATGGACAGTAAATTTGAATTTGAAGGTATCTTGCTGATAAAATCACTGGGACAGAAAACAAGAGAAAAGCTTGGTACTTCCTTTAGCCTTAAAATTTACATAGAAATTGTATTTACATCTAGTTTTCCTTATAGTCCTTTGCAGACTTCAGGAATTAAAAGCACAAACAGGTGTTAAGGGATGCTCAGTGTATTTAAGGTGAGCAAGGTAAAGATGAACCACAAACAAAATGAGGAAAGGTGGCTGAAATATATCACATTTTTTTCTTATTGCCAGCAGTTTTCCTGACTGGGGCTGGAAGGAGCTGCTGGCTGTTTTGGGGGCAAGCACACAGCAAGGTGGTTTTGGTTTGGAGCTGAAGGCGCTGAGAGTGGATGGTTCTATTGAGCATCATATTCCAACAGGCTGGTGGGAGCACAAGGCTCACCCAGCTCCCAGCAGGTTTTCCAACTGAAGCAGGTTTCCAAAAGAAAGTCACACCTTTGACAAAGGTTAAGAGCCTTCCCCCAGGATAAGAACACATTAGGTACCTTCAAAAAAGATCCCAGGTTTATTTTGCACAGTTTTCCCTGGCTGGCTGCTCACAGAAATAAATGTGCAGCTCTGGCTGACATTAAAAGGGGAAAAAAAAAAACAAACACACCATAGAACACCACAAAATTTTGCCTGAGGCAGACACCTGGCACGGAAAATTTTGTGTCAAATCATTACAAATATGAGAAGTTTTAACTAACTTAAAATAGGGTTTGCAGTAGGAAGTGTCAAGCTTGATACTGTTGTAACATACATATATTAAATATTTAAAATTATATAATATATT